GCCCCATGACCAGACCAAAAAAAAAAAAAAACCCAAAAAAATAATGAGCAAAAAGAGGAGGCATTGCTCAAGCAGTATGATATAGTATGATAATATAGCAGGCATGAGTCCCTGAATTCAAACCTCAGTATTGAAAAAAAAAAAAAAGGAAAGATGACAATTTATTTTAAAAAGAAAACTAAGCCTTTAAAAAAAAACTATCCATTTATTATGATTTCTCTGAATGAACAGACCCCAAAGAAGAAAGTTGATGATGATTTCTAAGGGGACTAATTTCACCAGCCCATTACCAACCTTAGGGAGAATAAGCAGGTTCCAAGCAAAAGAAGAGCCAACTTGGAGCATGAGAGAAGGTAAGCATTTCACCAAATTAGGTGAGTAAAAAATAAACCTCACAACCCTCTTACTTACACTCAGTCATCACCTAGGTGATTGTGTTTTGCAAACCTGGGTCCTGAACAGGCTGCCCTTCAGCTCCGGACAGTTTTTCACACCCAACCAGATACACAGACACACCCTGGCCTCTGGCAGATGTTTCCCATAAGTAGCCTCTCATAAAGCTGGAAATCTTTCTGGAGTGTGTGTGTGTGTGTGTGTGTGTGTGTGTGTGTGGAGTGTGTGTGTGTGTGTGTGCGTGCGCACACGCATGCACACCAGTCCAAAGGTATGAACTCAGGTCCTGGGTGCGCTATCCCTGAGCTTTTTAAGTCTAGCATTTTTACCATTTGAGCCACAGTGCAACTTCTGGCTTTTTGGTGGTTGAATTGGATTGATAAAAGAGTGTCACAGACTTTCCTGGCTTCAAATTGCAATCCTCAGATCTTAGTCCACTTGAGTAGCTAGGATTACAGGTGTGAGACACTGGCACCTGGCTTCTCTCTAGGTTTTATTTCAAGCTCTTGAACTGTTTCTCCTCTCTCTATTACTACATTTTGATGAAGTAATTTTGATTCCAACATAATCACCATTGAGTTCTTCTTCAATGATAATCTCAAGATCCTAAATCATGCCACGCCAGGATTACAGAATCCTAATCCACAAATAAGTGGGGAAAGGATCCATTTACCCAACATGATGAAATGTTTCTTCACTAATAGTTGAAAAGGCAGGCAGGTAGAAAGAAGTTACCCATAGACACTGTACAGCTGTTACTATAATATATAAGCCTAAAATATACTTACCAAGGGGTACTCCCCTTTAACTTTTCATTTCACTGAATGCCAAGGATTTTCCTGTCTCTGCAATTGTTTTCTTGCTATATGTGTTTTATTCACATGCAATGAACTTTATAATTTGCAAAAACAAATTTTTTAAGCCTACAAACACATAAATTCTTAAATCAGGAAAGATAATCTAATCTCTGGAGAGTGCTTTCATTTTTTTAAATTTATTTTTATTCTTTGTTTTAGACAGGCTGTAACTATTGTAGCCCGGATTACCCCTGAACTCCAAACTACCTGTGTAAGCCACCCAAATGCAGTGTTTTAAATGGTTATTAAACCGAGACTGAGTGCGTCAAAACAGCCTGCCACTAAAAGAAACCTAATCATTACAGGCAAGGATGGTTCTCTACTGAACACATTTCAGCAAAGTTGTATGGTTTGTTGGATCATGAAGAAGCCAAGGAAGAAAATAACTCTGCTTAGAGTACTTGTGAATGGCCAGATGATGAATGGTACAGCAAGGTGGGACACTTCACAATGCAACAGAGCCTGAAGGAATATTTGTCCAGGATACAAGTATTAGTGGATGGTGGAACTCCATGAACACTACTGCTTTTTCTAACAACCTGAGACTGAATCTCTTTATAAATTCCAAGTCAATATTGCCACTGAGTTAATCTTCCACATAAGCCACTAGGAAGAGATCACCAACTTCTACTTACTAAGTCACCAGTATACCAAATACACCAAGCCTTTGAGACATATGATTCACACAGAAAACACCCAAGAACTGAGCCATGTACTAATATTTAAATGTTTTATACATTTATTGAATGCTAGGCAAATGAGACAAATATATAAAATATACAATACTGTTAGCAAAAGATGTTGATTGTTATTACTTGAGATTGTTATGCACTGAATACAAAATTACCTATGATATAATCATGCCATTTTGTGGTCACTCCTTAAACTCTCCCCCAACAAACATACCCACTCTGCTGTATATATGGGTGCGTATGTCTACATGTGTCTATTTGTATGGATATACACAAATATATACATATATATGTATATACATGTATCTTACAAAAGCCAAGTAGTCTTTAAACTTGTTTTTTAAAAAATTCCACTTCATTTCACAGGCCGAAAAAAATCCAAGATCATGGAAAACAGGCATTGTTTTATACTGTTGGTGTATAGTATAAAATGGTCCAACCCTTTTTTTTGGGGGGGGGAGGGGTCTGGTCGTGGGGCCTGAACGCTGTCCCTCAGCTCCTCAGCTCAAGGCTAGCACTCTACCACTTGAGCCACAGCGCCACTTCTGGCTTTTTTCTTTTTTGCTTATGTGGTACTGAGGAATCGAACCCAGGGCCTCATGCATGCAAGGCAAGCGCTCTACCACTGAGCCACCTTCCCAGCCCCGGTCTAACCCTTATGAAGGGCAACAGAGCAATATCTATTGATATTCCATAAGTGAATACTCTTGACATACCAATTCCACTCAGTGGGATTTATCCTGGCAGACACACTTGCAAAAGAACAAAACTGTAGGTTGTTCCTAGAGGTGTTTGTAGTAATAGGAGAAAAAAATAAAGCTATAAACAAGTCATTATCCACCAGTATGGAATTGATTAAATAAATTATTTAAGTACTATGTAACTAAAAATTAAAAATTTTAAGGAACACCAAAGCATTTTGTTGATACAGATATTATTCTGCAATTATTAAATGAAAAACATGTGCACTATATGTTATGCTCTCTTAGGTACAGGATAAAGTCACTCTGGAAGGACACCCAGGAAAATAGTAACAGTGGTTAGGTGAGAGGTGGGAAGAGCTGAGGATGGCTGGGAACATGACAGACTAGAGGAAATGAAGAGGGAAAAGCCAAGCACTGATGGCTCACACTAGGATCCTAGCTACTCAGGAGGTTGGGGTCTGAAGAAGATAGCCCCAAGAGACAAATCTATGAGACTCTTATCTCCAATTAACAAACAAGAAACCAGATGTAAAGATGTGGCTCAAATAGAAGAGCTCCAACACTGAGCAAAAAAGCCAAGTGAAAGACAAGCAAAAAGCACAAGTTCAAGCCACAATATCAAGACATAAATACACAAAAGAGTCAGAGAAGACTTTTACCTAAACCTCTTTACATTTAAAAAAAAAAAAAAACTGGGGTTAGTGGCTCACACTTGTAATCCTAGCTACTCAAGAGGCACAGATGGGAAAGATCATCGTTTAAGGCCAGCCTGGAGTCCCTTACCTCATAAAAACAATGAGTGAGCTGGCTGCTGGTGACTCACACTCGTAATCCTAACTACTCTAGAGGCTGAGATTTACGGATTGCAGTTCAAAGCCAGCCCAGGCAGGAAAGTCCATGAAACTCTTTATCTCCAATTAATCAGTGAAAAGCTGGAAGTGGAGCTTTGGCTCAAGTGGTAAAACACTAGCCTTGAGCACAAAAGCTCAGGACAAGGCTAGGTGCCAGTGGCTCATGCCTGTAATCCTAGTTACTCAAGAAGCTGAGATGAGGATCTTGGTTAGAAGCAAACCCAGGCAGGAAAGTCTGTGAGACTCTTATCACCAATTAACCACCAGAAAACCAGAAGTGGAACTGTGGCTCAAAGTGGTAAAGTGTTAGACTTAAGAAAAAAAAATCTCAGGGACAGCACCCAGACCCTGAGTTCAATCCCCAGGACCAGTACACCTTCTCCCTCTCCATCTTGTACAAATATGTCTGGATTTTTCATGTATGTGAATATATAGGTGCATATACATGAGTGTTCTCGTGAAGTAAAGGCCTTACACACTCAGAAGTGCTCAATAAAGTAGAATACTACAACCTTTGCCTTAGTTCAAGAGCTCAATCAAGAGTCAAGTTCTGGAAACAACACAGATGCCCCACTACAGATGAGTGGATCCGAAAACTGTGGTACCTATATACCATGGAATATTATGCAGCCATTAGAAAGGACAAAATAAATGGCATTTGCAAGGAAATGTGTGGAAGTAGAACAGATCATGTTGAGTTAGGTAAGCCAAGATCAGAGAGACAAACAGCACATGGTCTCCCTGATGGTGGATGTTAAATTCAAAATGCAAGGAGATATGACAAAGTAAACAGGACTTAAGAAACAAACAACAACAACGAAGAGTAAAGTCCTGGAGTGGAAAAAGCAGGCTCAGATCCTTGTACTGCTTTTTCTAACTTATTTATGCGAGTTACCTACCTCTTCAGCCTTAGCTTCTCCATCTGTAAGATGGAAGGAACCACAGTAATTCCTCCCAGAGCTATTGAGAAGATTCATATGAAGAACGCTGCGGTAATGGTATTATAAAAGCTCAAATGATAATGTCACGATGACGGTTAGAGATTATTTATGGGGCGAATAACGGGGTGCCTTGTGTTCTATACTGACTGCACTACCAGCTTCTTAGTAATCTCAACCGAGCCCCAAATTCTCAACTGTCTTGTTGTGAACACAAAACAACCTTGCCTAAGTTCCGGCCAGTCCGTTTCAGACATTCTGTACTCCCCACATGCCATTTTTCCTCCTCGTGCGGCCTTACATTGCAGGCTCAGGCCCTGGAACCCCCAACTCTCCGGCCCGCCCCAGTCTACCCGGACCCACTTTCCTACTCCACCCCGGCCCCCGCCTCCTCCACAGACTTCAGCGTAACTTGTTTGCACTACTTTCCAGCCCGAGGGGGAAGGAAGCTCCTACCCAGATACTCGTAGTCCGGTAGAGCGAGGCGCTCAGGACTCAGCATCCTCTGACCCCGGCAGCTCCAGCTCCCGACTTCCGGAACCCAGGATGCAGTCTCGCCGTTACCATGGCACCCGTGAGGCGGGAGGCGGGATGGGAAGGGGAGACGGTGTCACGCGAACAGTCTCCGGAGCGCAACGCGCTGCCGACCACGCAAGTTCCGGGAGCGGCGGTCGGTTCTCGGCCTTCCAGGTTTACTTTGGGCCTCGACTTCTTGAGGACATGGTTTTTAGAGGATCTGAGGTGTAGAATCCTCTGAATTTGTTATATTTCCTGAAGTCCAATGATTACTATCCGCCGTCTGTATCCGAAATTTCTGAAGTTCATAAGGATTCCTGCTTCATACAGCTGTTATCCTGACAATAATGGTTCCCACCGTGAGCACTCTTAATTTTCCCATTACCTGATTTTCTCTCTTTTAGCATATGCAACCTTAAGTTGCTACAAAGTGCTTCCACGTGCACATTCTATCTTGGCTGCTGCTTGAGGTCAAGGATGTCTTTTAGCCTATGACAGGGCTGGACACAAAGGATGCTCATTAATCTTCTGTGAGATAATTGCTATTTCCTCTCAAATTCCTCCCCACAGTTCTTCTATTCTTATCCCTTACTATTTGATATCCTTCCCAAATGACAAGTTTTAAATCCATACACAGACATAGACACACAAACACACATTCCCAACTGTTTAAGAGGGAAGAATGGTGGCTGGTGGCTCACGCCTCTAATCCTAGCTACTCAGGAGGCTGAGATCTGAGGATCGCGGTTCAAAGCCAGCCCAGGCAGGAAAGACCATGAGACTCCTATCTCCAATAAACCAGAAGACCGGAAGTGTCACCGTAGCTCAAGTGGTAGAGCGCTCACTTTGAGCTGCGTCCAGGCCCAGAGTTCAGGCCCCAGGACCGACAAAAAAAAAAAAAAGAAGGAAGAGCTTCATCAGTTTTCAAGTTCCCAGATTACTTCTTTTTGCTTCCCTCCACGCCCAACAATAGGTAAAAGATCTTTAGCTACTGTCTCAGTCCAAACTTAGCTGCAAAAGACACTGTGTCCTCACTTTAAAAACATAAAAAAGTAAAGCTGGAAGTGGCGCTGTTGCTCAAGTGGTAGAGCGCTTGCCTTGAGCTGAAGAGCTGAGGGACAGCACCCAGGCTCAGAGTTCAGGCCCCACAAGTGACAAAAAAAAAAAAAAAAGTAAGTGCCGTCACCCTCCAACTAGATGGGGTTTTTGGTTTTTTGTTTTTTGGTTGTTTTTTTTTAAGAAAGAAAACAAAAATCATGCCATCAAAGGAATGCCTAGGAAACCAATAGACCACCTACACTGGGAGGAGAAGAAAACAGAAGGTTCTTCTCTTTGTGTTCTGAAGGGCCTATTCTTAGCCTCCTCCAGCAAGGAGCCTCAAACCTTCTAATTCTCTCTTTCCCTTAAAATTGTATATGTGTCTCAATTCTAGGCTCCTGTGAGTCACACTGACTTTGGATGTGGTAAAGAGGAAGGAACAGGGCCAAACTAGGAGCTGTGTTTAGTATTTTGAGGTAATGAGTTTACTATGTTGAAATTCGTGTGAAGTCCTGAAAATTCCATCTAAAAATTTGCCTCTTCCACTCTTCTCATGAAGCTTGAGGAGTTAAAAATTTCATAACTGTGGCATATTATTATGATATCAATAAACACTATATAATTTACGAAGGACTTTCTTCCCAAGCAACCTACTGCTATTTGCAGATGTTAGTCATATATCCACAGAAAACTTAGGCATTTCTCCCTTTTTTAAGTAGGGAAACTGAGGCAAGAGGCACAAAATGACTTGTCTAGTGTCATCCATCCAGTCAGTGGGAGGGCTGGAACTGATTCTCAACTATGCTAACATCCAGGCTAGTGGTCTGACCACTAAACCACATAGCCTCTTATTTTAGGAGTTGTGGGCTTGGTGTTTATTTATTTATTTATTTATTTTCTTTTTTGCCCTGCCCTGCTAGCAAATGGAAGCTCACAGATAAAAGAAGAGAATTTTAAGTCCAGGCTACAAATTTGACATCCTCTTATTTATGGAGCATTATCTTGGGATTTGGAAGATATTGGGGTCTATGTGGTGAAGCTGGGAACAAGCCCCAAGAATATAGCTTTGTTTGAGCATTAACCCATTTGTGGTTATAATAATGATAAGTTTCAGCATCAGTGGCGCCTGACTGTTAATGACTCAAAGAAAGCTAAATAAGAACAAGATGTCATCTCTGGAGCAATTTGTAGGTTTTTTCCTACAGTTCCATCCCTTCCATAAAAGTCCTAAGGATCCTTCTATTTACACTGTGTCTTCCACTCAGAAAGTCCCAGTTTGTCAAAGAGGAGGATTTAGAAAGGCTTAGGAGGTAGCTAGATATTGGCTTCAATAAAATTTGGGCTTTCATAGAAACAGTTTTCTGGGTAGTAGAATTACTGACTTTATTTTTTCTATTTTACATTTTTCTATATTCTTGTTTTTCCTCTAATAGCCGTGTACTATAACTTGAAAACTAAGAATGGAAGATGTGATCACCTAGCAATGTTTCTTCTTCCCATGAAGAACCTGCTACTTTTTTATTTCTGTTCGGACACAGATTACATAATACTTGATTTTGGCAACATATCCATTGTGAAAGAAATTTTTCACACATTATGATATCATTCTTAGGCAGAATGGAAATACACAAGAATTTGTAAAAAATGAAGTGCATTTTTGTGATTCTGTTGAATGTTAACTAAAAAAATGTAATCTTTCTGTTGAAATGGATTTTTTTCATTTTCCTAAATTACCATATTTCTAGAAAATTTACCAGAACAAATAATCACACCCAGACAGAGCAATAAGTCAGAACTCCACAATCGTGAAGAGAACCAAGTGATATGAAATTGACCAAAAAGGGCTGGGAAGGTGGCTCAGTGGTAGAGTGCTTGCCTTGCATGCTTGAGGCCCTGGCTTCGACTCCTCAGCACCACATAAGCAAAAGGAAAAAAAGCCGGAAGTGGTACTATGGCTCAAGTGGTAGAGCGCTAGCCTTGAGCTGAAGAGCTGAGGGACAGCGCCCAGGCCCAGAGTTCAGGCCCCACGACCAGAACTCCCCCCCCCCAAAAAAAAAGAAAATAAAAGAAAGAAATTGACCAAAAAAAGAACACAAGATGTTAAAAGAATAAGAAATAAAAACACTAAACTGAAAACAATGGGAAAAACATCTATGAGAGATGTATGGATATGACCGGACCCCCCCCAAAAAAAAAAAAGAAGAAGAAAAGAAAGAAAAAGAAAATTAATAGAGATCGTTGGCTTTGCAGAGGGCCTAGTAATAGGAAAGATATTGAAGACTGCATAAAATGTAATGCAATGTAAATGTACTATATAGTTTTAAACCTCAGGGAAACTATCAGTTAAAAAAAAAAGGCTAAATTATTGCTGCAAAACAGGTTCAAGAAACTAGGACAAGCTTTTATCAAGTCATCAAGCAGAAAAGATGCTAAAGGCAAAGTAGCTACTAAGAAATGCAGGTCATGAAATTTGTGCTGAGTTACTAGGTTTTTCTTTCTTTTTTATTCCAATTTTTTTAATCTACAAACAGTTGTACAAGGAGATTGCACTTTGACATATCCATTTATGTGTTCAGTGCATCTTGATCATCCCTCATCCTCCCTCTCCCTACTACCTACCCCTTCCCTACCAATCACATCATGTTCCCCACTTCCCTGTTCCCATATGGACATTGAGTATGGTGACTATATTTATCTATGTTCTCTTTCTCATTTATCATACCCCTCCCAATAACAGGCTTTTTTTTTTTTTGGGGGGTCCGGTCCTGGGGCCTGAACTCTGGGCCTGGACGCTGTCCCTCAGCTCTTCAGCTCAAGGCTAGCACTCTACCACTTGAGCCACAGCGCCACTTCCGGCTTTTTTCTTTTTGCTTATGTGGTGCTGAGGAATCGAACCCAGGGCCTCGAGCATGCAAGGCAAGCGCTCTACCACTGAGCCATCTTCCCAGCCCCAATAACAGGCTTTTATTAATAGACTTAATAACTTCTAGAAGAGCAAAGTAAAAACTAAGTATGATTCCACAGTCTGGGATTAACAGATTTAAATTAAAAATGCTAACTACAGAAAAGGCATTTTGAACTTCCACATAACTCAAGAGATCAGAGCTTTGGGGGAATTTGCAAATAAAAAGAAATGTTCACAAACTATCAGGCAGTTAAGAATCACTAATGCATTATGAGAAAGTGATTAAGGGCTGGAAACATGGCTCAAGAGGTAGAGCACCTTGGGGCTGGGAAAGTGGCTCAGTGGTAGAGCGCTTGCCTTGCATGCACGAGGCCCTGGGTTTGATTCCTCAGCACCACATAAGCAAAAAAGAAAAAAAGCCGGAAGTGGAACTGTGGCTCAAGCGGTAGAGCTCTAGCCTTGAGCTGAAGAGCTGAGGGACAGCACTCAGGCCCAGAGTTCGGGCCCCATGACCGGACCCAAAAAAAAAAAAAAGAGGTAGAGCACCTGTCTAGCAATCATGACTTCAGAACCCATACTACCCCCAAAAAAATGAAAAGAGAAATAGAGGAAACAAAAAAGTGCCTTAAATTGTAGGTTTAAAAGCAAATTGGAGCTCAAAGGCAATTACAAACATATACCTTATTAATGTGTATAAATGCTGCAAAGAGTTGGAATTACACATTCATATAGTTTGAAAGTAGTTTCTTTATTCATTTTCTTTCTTTCTCCTATTATATACAGAAGTAGAGCTTTAGCTCAAGTGGTAGAGCCCTAGCCCTGAGCACAAAAAGTTTGTGGACACTGCCCAGGCCCCAAGTTCAAGTCCCAGGATCAACACACACATGAAAAAAGTCTAGAATATAAAGGCCATCCAATCTATAGGATTTGGGGTTGCCTCATAGTAACCAATTCATATAATAAATGTATCAACCAGGTGTTGGCAGCATAGATGGATAATCCAGATAACTCAGGAAGCTGAGATGGGAAAAATCACTTGATCCCAGAAGCTGAAGACCAGCCTAGGAGCTGGGCATTGTTTTCTGTGTAGAAACTGCATGTCTACTAAGATCTAGGCTAAATATTACCCTCTCTATAAAAGCTTATCAAATCCCCAAGGAGTCAATTATTACTTGTGCACCTTTTTTTTAAGTATTTACCATTCTATATTCATTT